CAGGGGGCCAGGCAGGGCTGCAGGCCACCAGCCCTCGCCCCCACCCTTCGCCTGCTGGGAACCCTGAAGGAGCAGCGGTGGGGTGAACCTTGGCATTACCTGGGTCATCAAGCGACCCCCTCAGAGCTGAGCTCCAATTTCGATGCTATTTCGATGCTATTGTGTCCAGCCCCGCTGGAGCCTGCTCTCAGGGAGAGCTCTGGGCTTTGGCCCTCCAGCTATCCCCCATGCCACCGATGGTTGCCAGCACTTACTGCCCGCTCCGCCGGCACCCGGCCTCGGAGAGAGACTCGAAGCCCGGCTGGCACTGGTCGCACTTCTCGCCCATCACGCCGGGTTTGCAGCTGCAGCGGCCGTCGCTGTCGCACTGCGGGCTGAGGGCACCTGCGGGGAGAGGGGAAGGAGAGATCCAGCCAGGAGCAAAGCACCCCGCCACCACCGCAGCAGCAACCCAACCTCAGTGGCAGGGGGCCCCCTGAGGGCCCCGCCCCGGGGTCCTGGCTGCCAAAGCTGCTCCAGCCTCCCCAAGTGATGCACGAGACTTGGAGGAGATAAATCCCAGCAGGTGTTGACTAGACACCCAGGACAAGGATCTTCTTCCCTACTATAAAGGTCATTGTGAAGGACAAGGCAGACTCCAGGGCACATGGACAAAACAGGGAATGAGTTGGTCATTGAGTTGCCATCTGGTTTTTTTATGTTCAGGTGGTGCTTCTACTGACCTTCCTGCATGGACAGAGACCAACAGGCGTTTCAATATCTACAGCACCTCGGTGCAAGAGGCACGAGCTACCTACTGCAGAGCAAGCCAGAAACTGTTGAGGATGAAGGAGCCATTGCACCTACTAGGTAATCACCACAAGACCCACAGAAAACACCCAAGACCTAGAAATCCCATCTCATAGCACTACAATCTGCAGAAAGCCACCAGAGCAGCTGGAGAGGCTGAGGCCTCTGTCCATCCCCAAGTGCTGTGGCACTTTGCATCACCTCCCCTCCCAAGGCGCAATGCCGTGAGCTCGGGAAATTATCCTTTCGTTTTTACGACGTAATTAAAAGCTTTTGTGGAGCCCGCCAAACATCGCAACGCCCAGGAAGGAGCAGCCTGACTCATAAAGCCGGGAGCTGAGGAGCTCCCGCGCTGGGGTTTGGTCATTGTCCTCAAGATAAGGGTGGCAGTTGTCAGAGGCAAACAGCTCCCCGCGGGCATCCGTGGGGTCATGGCCACATGCCAAATTCAGGGCAGAGCGGAGCAGAGTCCCTCTCGGTGAGACAGGGATTGTTGATGGAGTGGTGGAGGGAAGGGATGTCATCCAGAGAGACCTTGACACGCTGGAGGAGTGGGCCTATGTGAACCTCACAAAGTTCAATAAGGTCAAGTGCAAGGTCCTGCATGCGAGTCAGGGCAATCCCCAATATCAGTACAGACTGGAGGATGGATGGATAGATGGAGAGCAGCTCTGAGGAGGAGGACTTGGGGGTACTCATGCATGAAAAGTTGGACATTAGCCCGCAATGTGTGCTCACAGCCCAGAAAGCCAATCGTGTCCTGGGTGCGTGGCCAGCAGGTCAAGTAGGGTGATGCTACCCCTCTACTCCACTCTCATAAGACCCCACCTGCAGCACTGTGTCCAGCTCCAGGGTCCCTAGCACAAGACATGAACTTGTTAGAGCAGGTCCAGAGAGGGTCATGAAAATGGTCAGAGGGCTGGAGCACCTCTACTGTGGAGAAAGGCTGAGAGAGTTCGGGCTGTTCAGCCTGGAGAAGAGGTGGCTCCGGGGAGACCTTATTGAAGCCTTTCAGTATGTAAAGGTGGCTCAATACATCAAGGTGAGCTTCACAAAGGCTTTTAACTGCATCGTAAAAGTGAAAGGATAATTCCTGAATTTATGACGTTGTGTCTTGGGAGAGGAGGTGGCACAAAGACCGAGAGACTTTCTACCAGGGCCTGTAGTGACAGAACAGTGGGAAAAGGTTTTAAACTGAAAGAGAAGAGGTTTAGACTGGACATAAGAAAGAAATGTTTAATGATGAGGGTGGTGGGACACTGGAACAGTCACTCAGAGAAGTTGCGGCTGCCCCATCCCTGGAAGTGTTTAAGGCCAGGTTGGATGAGGCTTTGAGCAACCTGGTGTAGTGGAGGGTGTCCCTGCCCATGGCAGGGGGGTTGGAACTAGAAAGTCTTGAAGGTCCCTTCCAACCCAAACCACTCTGTGAGTCTGTGATTATTTGGGGGGGCAGGTGGGTTTTGGAGCCTGGCCACAGCCTGGAGCTGCTGAGGCGTTTGAAATGCCCAGCACCAAGTGGTGAAGCACCCAGGAGGAGGAGCTCCAACCACCTACGGTGCAGATGATTATCCTCAGATAACCCCACCCAGAGCCGAGCTGGCCCTGCTCACTCCTCCTGGTCCGGTGTGTAGGGACCCAGCGCCCGACCTCGCCACGTGCTCAGCAGGGCCAAGGTCACCCAGGGTGGTTTTAAGCCTCCCTCCACCCCGACCCGACCCCTTCCCCTCCCGGTGAGCGGCCACGTACCCTGCTGGTGGCAGCGGCAGGGCAGGCAGCAGTCGTCCTCCCGCTGTCGGAAGAAGCCCTCCTTGCAGCGCTCGCAGCGGGCACCCTCCGTGTTGCCCAGGCAGCCGAGGCAGCGGTATCCGTTTCCCGTCTCCCTCAGGAGGTGCCAGTCGAAGACACACTGCCTGGACATCCCGTTGCAGTCACAGACTAGGGAGAGGAGAGACACATCTCAGATGATGCTTAGAGATAAGGCCACCAGCTATGAAGCCATAAGGCCCACCATGATGGCCAAGGAACAAGCCCAGGTGATGCAAACCTCCTCTTGCTCTGCTAATAACGAGCCCCATCCCCATGTGTCTGTGTCCATCAGACACCCACGTGCCACCAATGCTCATGCCATGCTCCACATCCCCATGCTTTCAAGCGATGCCCAGTTTCACTGCCAACACAAGCTCAGGATGGGGATGCACATGGTCGGGGATGTTCTCCATCCTTTCAGAGGCCTTCCAACACAACGAGGTCTTTGAGTAAGCAGAGATGGCACACAAAACCCCGAACCTTGTCCTGATAAAAGCATGAGGAGCTTTACTGGTGACTTCAGGGAAAAGGGAAAGATCTCTGAGGTTATGCCTGGTTTCACCCAGTCTCCGACCAGGAATGACCCCAGGAGGAAAAGCTCAACCAACTTCCACCAGGTCCCTCCATCTACGTCTGTGATGCAGGTGTCCTCCAGCCAAGCACAGGGGTGATGAGGAGGGTTTGTGACCAGAGGAGCTAGGTGGGAGAGTGTCAGCTGAGAAGGAGATTTTTTTAAAAATGGGTTTTGCAGGATTGCACGGGTCATCTCAACCTGTCCTCCCCGGGAAGAAAAGCTGCAGCTGCCAACATCGCCACATGACGGATGCCAGGAAGGACAGGCCTGAGATTTTACATCCCACTAAAGCCAGGACAAACGGGACGTCTGGAGAGCAGAGTGGCAGACATCTCACCAGACATCCTTCCTCCAGTGCTCTTCTTCATGACCTTGCCCAGATCTTACACTGAAGCCACCTCTCATCTCCTTAACAAGCTCTCAGTGGCCGGTACTAGAGCGTTGAGCCTGAGGACATTTGTTTCAGACGAGTTTCTCGGCACCACCGAGGAGAGCAGACATGGTTGAGAGGATGGTTGGCAAAAACAGAGGGGAGAAAGAAACACCCTGAAGGAAAAAGCAGGGTCCATGAGGGTGCAGAACCTGCCGATAAGCTGCTCCAAGCCACTCCAGTGCTGCCGGGGGATCCTCAACCGCCCTCCCAGAAACTCTGCTCGCTGCTGACCTCCTTGGCACACCAAAGGTGGTCCCCAGCTGCCCACCCCCAGCTCAGGCCACCTCTGACAGCACAGGGAGGTAGAGGAAATCCAAGAGCAAGCAGAAACCTGCAGCATGGACGCAGACAACGGAGAAGCGTGGAGGCTTCTCCTTCCGGAGCAGCTTGGCCCAAGGACACAAGGTCCTTGTCCTCCTGTCCGTGGTTCCCGGGACCAGGCGAAGCCTCCTGTGCTCCCCGCCCAGGCACGCACCTGGCTGCCGCCCTCGCCCGTTGCCCCCCACATACCAGACGAAGGCACTCAGCAGCCGAGCCCGCTGCCAAGGAGAGAGATGACCTCATGCGCCACCAAACAAGGAGAAAGATTCTTCTTTAAATGTGTTGGTTTTTTTTTTTTCCCCAGCAAACACACTTCTTCCCTTGCAGCTTGGCTGCCAGTCAACCAAGATCCAGTTGCAGAAGGTCTTCTGCCCCCCTCAACCTGCTGGGAGGGGACCTGTGGATGCAGGAGTCCTGCCTCTTTGGGTACCAGAAAGCATCTAAGGACCTCAGTGGACATCACCAGTGACCAAAGGGCAGAAATCATACAAACAACCCACCGAAAGCACCAGCGCGGGACTTTCGACGAGGTCTTCGTGCTCACCTTCACAGCGGGACAGCTTGGGGTCAATCCCACCCCTCATCCCTCCACACCAGAGCTGTTGAACTCCACCCATGTGTCACCCTATGTCTGTATCACCTGGAGGACTTACTGGGCTGCTAAATTACAGGCATGAGCACCATTCCCTGCTCCAGGGAATGAAAACCTTTTTTCAGGTCTCACTCTAAGGCTGCCGCGTGTTCGG